TGTTGATACTTTTTATTATATGTATAATCTAATTATGAGAATTATGATGAAAAGTAGAGTAATTTTTTTTAAACTCATTATTGAGTAAGATCAAATATTTCTTTATATAAAATAAAATTACATTAAAATTTGTAAATATTTCTCATCAATTATTTAATTTTTGAAATCCTAAATAACTTATTAGGAAGAAGATCCAATTATCTTTTAAATAGAAAAGAAACCATTTATTTAGTATTTACTGTGACAAGTGTTAAAAGTATTTGCCAAATAAAAAAGATTAAATATAGTTCCACTAAATAACATTATAATGCTAATCTCATATTGATGAAAAATTTAATTTCGTTATCAAAATCTAAACTCAATCAATCCCCTATTTTATATTTCTTTAGGCTCAATTGCCAAAATGACGCTCCATAGTTCAATTATTAGATCCTTCCTTTAATAATAATTCTTAAAATATATTAAATTAAAATGTCTAAATGTAAAATTTTATTCAATATCCTCTAATTTAATTATTAATATTTTCCTTTTCTCACCTATGATAATTAAATACATAGACCAATATTTTAAAAGATATATATATAAAATTCTAATCATCTAGGATTTCAAAAATGATGAATTATGAAGATAATTTGGCTCATCATTAGAGATAACATAAATATTTTGAGATTATTAAGATTCCAAATCTTTTTTTTCTCTTAAATACAAGAAAACAAAAGAAGATGGTATAATGCATACTCATAAATAATTTATTGTTTAAAATAATTTTTAGGCTTATGTAGAATGATAAGAGGATTTAAAAAAGAAGAAGGAAAACCAAAGTGTTTTCAAATTAAATGATGATTTAATTGATCAATGATCTTCTACTATTTTTTCATTCGTCAAATTATGAATAGGCTTCTATCACATCTCACATAAAATAAAGTTTTAACTTTTCTTACACTGAAGATTGTAATTAGTATTCTGACATTTTTTTGAAAAGAAAAGATTAAGGTTAAATAACTGCAAACTGTATAAATTTGTTTCAATAAGGAAGCTACGTAGCACTTAGAACTACTTATTATGAGCTTAATATAATAAATATTAAGAGTTTTATGGTTAAATGTTGTTTATGACATTTTATCTCATATTTTTTGTTAAATGAGCTAGAGAATTTGACTGATTCAATCAATAATAAAAAATGCTTGGATTTATCATAATAGGGATCATACAATTCGAAGTATGCATTTATATAGAATGTTAATTTTGCAATTAATTAAATTTAATTAAAGAAATTCATTAATTTAATGCATTTACTTTAAAGGGTAATGTATTTATCCAGAATTTCATCTATTCAAGCCTTAAATATTATCTAAATTGCCTATAATAACGGGATGATTTACAAAACCAATGCACTTTATGCTATTTTGAAACAATTCAACCAGATAACACATATTGAATAAATGTCCACCAGAAACCTCATATTTTATTAAATATCAGGGATGCAGAAATATTTGTTCTTGAGACTAATTATTTATTTGTAAATGGTTATTTTGAATCATATAATAGTTTGGTTTATATGAAAATGAAACTACAGAACTATGTGACTGGCAACTGTTGTATGATTTTACCGAAATAAGTATTCCTGTTCCTTAAAATCTCTACTTTGAAAATAATTAGATTATGAAATAGAATTAAGGGTTTAATACATTATTAATCCTTATAACCTGAAGTTACTATATATATAATTACTACTATTAAACGATATACTGCCCCCTGTTAGTAATATTGAATTAAGTATTTATGACACTTATTAAGGGAAAATATATAAAAATATTATAATCAATAGGCAATTATACGTAAAATAAAATTTTATATTTTGAGATATTAACACAGGAATAGGCTATTCAGAATATTGAGATTTCATTAAGGTATTGTCCCTCTTAGTGTTCAATATGCAGTGAATAATTCAATTGTATTAGGCGTAATACGAATTACTACATTTCAAAATGGAACTTATGTGTTTTATGCACTGGTAATATTTAATTTAAAATTAATGTCACTAATAACTTAGATTTGATACTACTGATGCATCAAAATTTACTCTAATTTTAATTAGTTGTAGATTCCAGACTATTAATAAAAGAATTTATTTCATTAGAAATTATTCCTGTTATGTATTCTGAGAATCGAGTGGTTAGTTAAACAGGTTAAAATTTGCCTAAATGATCAAATATCTATTATTCGATTTTGAAAAAAAAGTGAATCTTCGGAGGAGCATATATATGGGCATAGTTTAGATTTTCTAGAAAACTCAATATTATTGATCTTCACGATAGTTTATCAATTGCTTTTATTGTTCTTTTTGGTCCTTCATTACAAGGAAGATGGTATATTTATTTTTTTGATTTGACGATATCTTATTTAAGAATTGACAAAATCGAGTAAATCAAAATTAATATGCTTATAGCACTATCATTATTTTCAATACTCTCATAATAAAGTTGGAATGATTAGGTCTTAATAATGAACCTATTAGAGCTTATTGTGGATGTTATCAGTTTTATATTACTTACAAAAATGAAATAGATCGCTAAAATAGAGTGCAGTACTACCTCCTACAAGCTGATAGAATAATTCGTTTTATGATTGCCGTTTAAATTTATTTTTGAATTGTCCAAATAATTGCTAAACTATCATATCCTTATAAAATTTTTTTACTTGTAAGTAAGGTATCGCTAATCCAACATAAGGCTATGTTTGTTCTCCTAATTAATATTTTTTGATAAAAATCAACAACAATGCAAATAATGCTCTTTAAATTGTGAGGGATGTATTAATGATGAACTACTGTGGAGTTGTGATTAATTATAGCAAATTTCATAAAATATTAAAAGATAAGAATATTTTTTATATTATTCAATTTAAAATGAAGTTTTAAATTCAAATCCATTTTAAATGGAATGTGTAAATATTATAATTTTTTATTGAGGAACAAAAATGGATTCCTTGCCATTTATGATAGATCCAAAACATAATTTAATTGATTAAGCATTAGAATCATAAAATTATAACTTTGATGGCATATAGATTGAGATGTTAACAGTAAAATAAAACAATTATAAGTATTGTTTTAAATATTGAAAATTATACTAAAATGGAGGTTGTTTAAAACAAAATCTTTACAATTTATTTATATTTTTTTTCAGGATTTAATCTTGCAGAATCTGTATTATTTTTATAATGATAANTCTCTACTTTGAAAATAATTAGATTATGAAATAGAATTAAGGGTTTAATACATTATTAATCCTTATAACCTGAAGTTACTATATATATAATTACTACTATTAAACGATATACTGCCCCCTGTTAGTAATATTGAATTAAGTATTTATGACACTTATTAAGGGAAAATATATAAAAATATTATAATCAATAGGCAATTATACGTAAAATAAAATTTTATATTTTGAGATATTAACACAGGAATAGGCTATTCAGAATATTGAGATTTCATTAAGGTATTGTCCCTCTTAGTGTTCAATATGCAGTGAATAATTCAATTGTATTAGGCGTAATACGAATTACTACATTTCAAAATGGAACTTATGTGTTTTATGCACTGGTAATATTTAATTTAAAATTAATGTCACTAATAACTTAGATTTGATACTACTGATGCATCAAAATTTACTCTAATTTTAATTAGTTGTAGATTCCAGACTATTAATAAAAGAATTTATTTCATTAGAAATTATTCCTGTTATGTATTCTGAGAATCGAGTGGTTAGTTAAACAGGTTAAAATTTGCCTAAATGATCAAATATCTATTATTCGATTTTGAAAAAAAAGTGAATCTTCGGAGGAGCATATATATGGGCATAGTTTAGATTTTCTAGAAAACTCAATATTATTGATCTTCACGATAGTTTATCAATTGCTTTTATTGTTCTTTTTGGTCCTTCATTACAAGGAAGATGGTATATTTATTTTTTTGATTTGACGATATCTTATTTAAGAATTGACAAAATCGAGTAAATCAAAATTAATATGCTTATAGCACTATCATTATTTTCAATACTCTCATAATAAAGTTGGAATGATTAGGTCTTAATAATGAACCTATTAGAGCTTATTGTGGATGTTATCAGTTTTATATTACTTACAAAAATGAAATAGATCGCTAAAATAGAGTGCAGTACTACCTCCTACAAGCTGATAGAATAATTCGTTTTATGATTGCCGTTTAAATTTATTTTTGAATTGTCCAAATAATTGCTAAACTATCATATCCTTATAAAATTTTTTTACTTGTAAGTAAGGTATCGCTAATCCAACATAAGGCTATGTTTGTTCTCCTAATTAATATTTTTTGATAAAAATCAACAACAATGCAAATAATGCTCTTTAAATTGTGAGGGATGTATTAATGATGAACTACTGTGGAGTTGTGATTAATTATAGCAAATTTCATAAAATATTAAAAGATAAGAATATTTTTTATATTATTCAATTTAAAATGAAGTTTTAAATTCAAATCCATTTTAAATGGAATGTGTAAATATTATAATTTTTTATTGAGGAACAAAAATGGATTCCTTGCCATTTATGATAGATCCAAAACATAATTTAATTGATTAAGCATTAGAATCATAAAATTATAACTTTGATGGCATATAGATTGAGATGTTAACAGTAAAATAAAACAATTATAAGTATTGTTTTAAATATTGAAAATTATACTAAAATGGAGGTTGTTTAAAACAAAATCTTTACAATTTATTTATATTTTTTTTCAGGATTTAATCTTGCAGAATCTGTATTATTTTTATAATGATAATAACTTCTAGAGAAGAAATATTAAATTCTATGGATTATCAAACTTGGTTTCAGAAAAATATAAGTACTCTAAACAATGTTGAATTGTTACTTTGAGCTTCTGATTTAGAAAATATATATATAAATTATTATTCTAAAGTCAGTGTAAAAAGAGCATTAAACAGATTTTATGAATTTCTTAAGTAATTAGAAGCGTAAAATTTTCATTTAATGAATTTAAAATAATTTCGAGTTAAATTTGAAGAATCAGTAAAAAAGTTTCTGTTAAAAAATGAAAATGAATAACTAATATTATAATATTAAAATTAAGGAAAGACTATTAAAATTTGTGATTATATCTTAAATTAGTTAGATATCAAAATTTTTTGAATAAATCTATTACTCACTGATTTTTTTCCAAAAGATCATTATTTTAATCAAAATGAAAAAGATTCAGAATATAAAATTTATTACGAAATTTATATTGATTAATACAAAAGGTAGTTTATTTTCATTTAATCCTAAGTCTATTTAAGAGTTCTTTATGCACATTATGTATTTAATTTAAACAAAAAAACAATTTCAATAGATAATAAGATTATTGAAATATAAGAAGAAATTTAATTTATCATAGAACATTTTTAATTTTTTTGGAACTCCTAAAGCCTAAATTCTACTAGTTCTCAATATTTAAAGAAAAATTGATAGAAATGATTTAATTGTAGAATAAATATCCAGATATTAGTTATGAATTCGTAAGATCAACATATAATTCAAAATTGTTGTTAAGTTTTTTGGGAGCATTGTTATTCAAAGGAGATTTAAATGAAATATAGATATCAGATAAAAATCTTATTTTTTTAAATAATTAACTTAACACAATCGTTAAAAATGTACCTTTAATTTACTGTAAATTTACATTAGCAAAAATAGAAAATGCCAATTCGAAAATTTACTTTGTAAGAATTACTTACAAAAAAATTAAATCAATCATCTTTTTTTATAACGGAGCTACTTAATTTTCTGAAGGGGATGGAAAAATTATTTTATGAGATTTAATTCAAAACTTCAAATTTTAGTTTATGTTTCAGAGAAAGATATTTTCTCCTCTCATATAAGCAGTTGTTTTATCAAAAAAATTGTAAATTATTAGCTTTTATTTTGAAAAATGGATTCAAATTAATGTTGATCAATTGATATTTAAAATTGGATTAGAATTCTTTAGTTAAGGATTGTTCTATTTCTAATGATTCATCGTTTTTGGTCTTGGCAACAAACTGTGGCATCTGGCTTAAAAATTAAGAAACATTTTACACCTTAGATCAAAAATATTAAAAAGTTTGTAGCTATCACATAATCTCGTTTGTTATTAATTTTATATATAGGCTATAAAAAATTGAAGAAAGTCTAAATTCAATGATGATATTATTTGATTAATTTATAACTGCTAGTGAATTAAAAGAATGGGAAGGTAATCAATATATTATATATTAAGAATGAATTTACTATATCAATAGATTGTTTGATATTATTTATACAAATTACGTTGGGATTAGTATTAATAATAATTTAGATGTATTCCTCTTTTTAATCCAATTAAGATAAATAATTGATATATTGCTTTTTATCTTAATATATCAATATTAATTATAATAGTTTTTCTTTACTAATTTCATTTATGCAAATTAGATTTAGGATAAAGTACTTTTGGTTTGTGATGGCTATTAGTATTAGTAGGTTTTTAATGGCTATTAGTATTAGTAAAGAAAATTGGATTTAATAGATTTTGAATAATTTAAATAATTTAATGTTTAGAATAAAATAATGATTCTATATGTTCGAAAATAATTCTTATTTTAACTCAATATTAATATTAAACTATAATATTATGGGGTTCAACAACGTATAAGCTTTGATCAAAATTCAAAAGTAATAAAACCAGTTCTGATCTGATTTCTATCTCAACAAAAGAAATCATACCATAACGAGGTTATAAAGTATTTCAACTTAAGAATTTGAATGCCTAAAGATAATAAAAATCAGATATTGATGGCTCAATAAATATCAATATTCACTAATGATTAATAATTAGTGTCTGGTTCTTAGATTTAAATAATAAGATGAGAATTAACCAAATTTATCAATTAATCAAAGGATAAACTTTTCACTTTAACTTTCGTTTCTCTGAAAATGAAATGTATTTTGCAACTATCAATTAAGCCCCTGTTTAATTAAATTTGGTAATTGAATATTTTTGTATTCAATTGAAATATTCATCACAATTACTTGCTTTACGAAACAAATTCATTTAAAATTAAAAATTGCTAATAATTATCTAATATCATACTATATTGAATATACATAGAATCTTATATTCTCTGTGGTTATTAGCATCCTATTGTTTAATTACAATTTTGCTATTAGATATAGAAAATTAACTGATTAATAAACAATTATTACTGTAGTTACAAACCTGATGAAATGGATAAAAAATAATTTGATTAAGCCTATTGCTTTTCTGCTAAAAATGATAACTTTTTCATAATTTATTCTTGTATCGAAACTCTCAAAAGGATTGAAATATTAACAAC